TCTTATCACAGTGGATGGAGTTGCTTGTCCCTGTGTAAATTGTGGCTGCAAAACCGGTATGTGACCTTAAGTGCCAGCCACAGGTGCAGGTTGTGCTCTGGTTAATTACCCTGAGTGACAGTTTCAGCAGTAGCATCGCCTTATGGGAAGAGCTGTGTGTCTTTCCTCTGAAGCAGCCACTTGAGCTCTGATTAACAAACCCCGCCACTCATGATCAGCCTCAAGGCAAATTTTGCTAACTTACTGATTTGATACACTTCTTGGGGCTTTACTTGGAAATCCCCCCAATTCCTTTGGCCCACATTCCAGCAGTTGTCTGGTTAGGTTATTCATTATTATTTTTATCTCATTTTCTAGCAAAATCAACTCAAGAGTGGAAATGTGTTGGCCAAGCTCACGGCTTGCAACTATAGGTGGTCATAATTACTATTAATCACTGCTCTAGAGAATGTGAATTCAATCTAGAACTTGAAACAAGATTCAAGTCATCAGCTAGCTATTCTCCCAGAGCAGAAATGCCTGGATATGTAGAATCACAAATGAAGGCTAAGGGAAAAGGTGATTCACCTTAAATATTTATGAAGATTAGGTCGTGCTTTTTATTGATGTGGACTTGTGTGACCCGCTTGGAAAACCTATTACCTATGTCCGACTTTATTCATTACTGAGTAGGTATGATATAAATTTATCTCATGAGCCTACCCTGTATTTACAAAGTATTTTGGAGTACTCCCATGAAAAAATGGACTGGACTACAGGAATATGAAATATTACTATAAATTCTAAGCATGAGGGAAGATTGTAACTCCCAAAAACAATTGTTTCTCATACTGGTAAATAATGAGATTTTAACAAATAAACAGGAAATATATATGACTCAAAGCTTTATGTTAAGTAAATGTTAATAAAGGTAAGCTAAAGTTAAGTAAATATTAATAAACAGGAGAGATACAAATATGTACAGGATCCTGGCTCTCAGAAAGCTTACGCTCCATCTGACAACAAAAAAGAAAAACATATAAAAATAAAGTAACAAGGGGCGCCTGGGTGGCCCAGTGGGTTAAAGCCTCTGCTTGCAGCTCAGGTCATGATCCCAGGATCCTGGGATCGAGCCCCACATCGGGCTCTCTGCTCGGTGGGAAGCCTGCTTCCTCCTCTCTCTCTCTCTGCCTGCCTCTCTGCCTACTTGTGATCTCTGTCAAATAAATAAATAAAATCTTTTTAAAAAATTAAGTAACAATATAAGAGGTGTCAAAGGCAGATATTGTTAATTACCTTGTGAAATGCAATTAGCAAAGTGACTACTGTAGGCAGAAGATGGAGAGATCATTTCCAGAAACAGTGGGCAGGGATAATTGTAAAATAAAAAACTTATCAACCAAATCTTGACGGCTGAATCCACTGAAACAGAAATGGAAGAGGGGATTCTTAGTGGAAAGAACCCAATGGGAAAGAGAACAGACAAAAAAAAAAAAAAAAAAAGGAAGAGTATCGATCCAAAAAAGGAAAAAGAACGCAGAACTGCAAGTTAGGGTGACAAGGACAGTTCTACAACAAGACAGTGCTGGGAAGGCCATTTGGAACTGGACCTTGAATGCCAGGTTGAGGAGTGAAGGTTTCTGAACACAAAAGCATCTTGCTTCAAAGCAGCGTTTTAGAAATATTAATTTGACGATGGGGTGCCAGGTTAAATGGAGCTGGAAGATTTGGAGGCTGGGAGGTCAAAGAGAAACCATGGCAAGTGCCAGCACAGAAGTATCGCGGTGTGATAGAAAAGGGAGGTGGGGGTGGGAACTATGGAGGAAGAAGCCCCTCCCTCTCCGTGCGCTTATTAGCCTTTGTTGTTGGAGCTTTCTGTTGTTTCATAAAGTACTGTCAAATCTGTGGGTTCCAAAGAACTGATTCATTTTGACAGCTTCCAGGAAGGAACTGGGGAAATGGCGGACTTAACTAATTTTGAACGGCAACACAGAACACCTGTATGAGTGGATATGGTGACCCTTTTCTTAACCTATATCCTCATGTAGGGACCAAAAAGCGTATCTCAAAAGGATCCCCTCAAAAGTGTCATGACATGTAGGATTTAAAGGAGATCTGAAAACATTTTATTTTAAAAGAAAGCTAACTCAAGTTGAACACGGGCTATTCCACACTTTTCCATAAATACATGTAGAAGAAAGCTCCAAGAATGCCAGAGTCCCCTTTATACCTGAAGCCCTGTGTTGGAACTCCTGATAAAATAACCTTCTGGTTTGGAATATTTGTGATTTAAGGTATTTATTATCCAGAAATTTGGGGGAGTTTGATGTACCTCTGATTGAGCAGGGGAAAAAGTTTCAGGAGAGTTTTGTGACAATTCTAATCCCTTGCCCTGGTGCCTGGTACGTTTATACACATACTTATGTACAAATGCGCGTATCTATACATAATGTCCACAGATACACAGACATGTATACTTGTGGTAATGTTATTGGCGTCCCCGCCTCTGCACCGAACCTCTGCAACCACATTCTGGTTTTATCGCTCACAGCAACGCAACCCCTTGGCCCATGATGGGCACTCAGGCTTGGCACACACTCTTCCAGTAACACCTCTTGACAGAAAGATGGCGCAGGAGAGAAAGCCTCCTCCCCACATTCCCTACACCTCACTCCATGGCCCAGCACTCGGAACCCCTTTCCTGGGCCGTGTCAAATTCAACTCTTTCCAGCCCCTTGGCTATTTTGAGTCTGCCTCTTGAGGGCGGCAACAGAAGGAAGCCTGAAGGGGAGACAAGTTTGCAGTGACAGGTAATGGAGCCTCTTGGGAGCTTACGCTAAACTCGGGGTGCAGTCCCTGTTCCTCCCCCTCTTTCTAGCCTCCCCTCTCTCCTCTCCTTGCTCCCCCTTCTCAGCCTCCCCTAAGTTGGCAGAACTAGGCTGACAAGTCTTGGCGCAGGGGTGAATAAACAAATCACCCACACCCACTCCCACCGGCCTTGTAACACCGATTGATCATCCAGTTTGGGCCTGAAGCAAATTTTATGTTTGGATTTCAGTAAGGGAAGGTGGTTAACACTGCTCAGCTTTATAAACTGAATAAGCCTTGCTTTTAGCTCTTGACTTGGGTAGCTGTGACAATCCGTCTCTCTCCGCAAGGTAAAAATATGGGTTTGGTCCAGATGTCGATGCTCCCCCCAGACCCTATTCATTTTATTCCGATGCGAGAAAAGCATGTGAGCGGTGCATAACGTTTTCGTGCACCCTTACATGGGTAATTAGAAGCTGTTTACTTCTCCAGGATTCCTTTAAATGCTTTTCATTTTCAAGGCTGAGCTGAGGACGTCACCATGGCCCGATTAGAGAGGGGGCTTGCAGTCCCGTGGCTGTTCCCTACATAGAATCCGCCCACAGCCGGGCTAACAACTCGCCAATTTCACACGGATTCATTCGCCAACTCAAAAACCACTGATGGAACTCGAAATGCTATAGGATATTCATCCTCTTGAGCATTTACATATTTTCTCCTCTCATCCCTCCAAAACTAACCCTAGGGTTTTCCGAATCTGGAAACTTGGGCAAAAGGAGAAAGCAACCGAGCAGCCCCAGGACTGAAATATCAGCTCATTACGTCAATCAAAACTAACAGTACCTTTTTGTTTGTATTGACCCAGCTCAAAATATAAAATCATGTGAGTAATAAAACACAGAATACAGGTGCTGTAACTGAATGTGAAAAGTCTGGGACGTAATTAAATGTGTTCTTTGTTCTTGGCGGTGTCATTTGCTCTACGTTAACATTTGTGTTTCCTTAAGCCTCTCTTTAGACTCTCCACACGCGCTGTTGCATCATACTCACATATTCATTAGCCGGGGCTGAGGAGTGTGTGATTTTCCACCTGGTCCTCAGCGTTAGCTGTCAGATGCACAACCCTTCGCTTCCTTTCCGCGTCTACTGCACCGGAACAACAGAAGCTCCTTGCGAGAGCGCCCAGAGAGCGTTCTGTGACAGCTAGGGGCTTGCTCCGGCAAGGCGCAGGGCGCTCTGCTGGAAAGTTTCCTCTAAGCACTAACACCCGCCTCCGATCCCCCGAGCTGGCAGGGCGCAGGCTGGCTGGGTCCCCTCTTGATGGGGGAAGGGTTTTACACACACTCTGCAGGGCTGTGAGATCCGAGAAACCACCTCACCGCCAAACTCCTCCAGCCCCGGCGGACAGACTGTCCAAGCCGCTCGGGGCGCGGGGAGAACGCCGAGGTCCCCTCCCCGCTAAGGGGAGCGCGCGCTCTGCTCCGCAGGGAACCTGGCACAGGAGGTAGAGGGAACTGAGGGGGCGGGGGCGCCAGGAGGGAGCCCAGCGCGGGAGGCAAAAAGGGCGCGGGAGGGAGCGGACTGCGGGAGAGAGCGGGGGCCACAGGGGGCTGCGGAGACGCGGGTGGCAGCCGGGCGCAGTAGTGCGGTAGGGGACACAGGGCCCTGGAACCGGCGGGCGCTGCAAGGGGCGCGCCTGCAAGAACCGGCGGGCGCGGGGGCGGCACTCGTGCGGCGATCTGCCCCGGACTCCCCGGAGCAGCTGAACGGCCGGTGGGAGGGGGGCGGGGGTGTGGGGAGCTGGGATTGGGAGGGGGTGTGGGGGGAACTAGATAGGGGCGTGCCTTTGCCCGGATTGGCTGCAGGAGCCTGACGCGAGGTCCCGGGGGTTGGCTCGGGGGAGTGGGAGCGGGGTGGGGTGGGTGCTGGGTGCCGGGGCCGCGGGCTTAGCGCGCTCAGAACCATGCTGAGGTCCCGGCGGCTGTTCCAGCAGCGGCAGCGGCTCCAGCAGCAGCGGCGGCGGCGGCGGCGGCGACAGCGCACGGCTCGGGCGGGGAAGGCGCCCGGCGCCCATGCCTCCGGCACCGCACAGCGGCTGCCCTGACCTGGCCGCGACCTCCCTCCGCGCGCCCCGCCGCCCCGGGCCCCTGGGGTGTTCCCCCACCACGGCCCAACCCCGCCACACCCCCCGCCCCCGGCCTCCGCAGCTCGGCATGGGCGCGGGGGCGCTCGCCCTGGGCGCCTCCGAGCCCTGCAACCTGTCGTCGGCCGCGCCGTTCCCCGACGGCGCGGCCACGGCGGCGCGGCTGCTGGTGCCCGCGTCGCCGTCCGCCTCGCCGCTGACCCCGACCAGCGAGGGCCCCGCGCCGCTGTCGCAGCAGTGGACGGCGGGCATAGGCCTGCTGATGGCGCTCATCGTGCTGCTCATCGTGGCGGGCAACGTGCTGGTGATCGTGGCCATCGCCAAGACGCCGCGGCTGCAGACGCTCACCAACCTCTTCATCATGTCCCTGGCCAGCGCCGACCTCGTCATGGGGCTGCTGGTGGTGCCGTTCGGGGCCACCATCGTCATGCGGGGCCGCTGGGAGTACGGCTCCTTCTTCTGCGAGCTCTGGACCTCGGTGGACGTGCTGTGCGTGACGGCCAGCATCGAGACCCTGTGTGTCATCGCCCTGGACCGCTACCTCGCCATCACGTCGCCCTTCCGCTACCAGAGCCTGCTGACCCGCGCGCGGGCGCGGGCCCTCGTGTGCACCGTGTGGGCCATCTCGGCCCTGGTGTCCTTCCTGCCCATTCTCATGCACTGGTGGCGGGCCGAGGGCGACGAGGCGCGACGCTGCTACAACGACCCCAAGTGCTGCGATTTCGTCACCAACCGGGCCTACGCCATCGCCTCGTCCGTCGTCTCCTTCTACGTGCCCCTGTGCATCATGGCCTTCGTGTACCTGCGGGTGTTCCGCGAGGCCCAGAAGCAGGTGAAGAAGATCGACAGCTGCGAGCGCCGCTTCCTCAGCGGCCCGGCGCGGCCGCCCGCGCCCGCGCCGGGCTCCCCGCGCCCCGCCGCCGCCGCCACCAGCCCGCTGGCCAACGGGCGCGTCAGCAAGCGGCGGCCGTCGCGCCTCGTGGCCCTGCGCGAGCAGAAGGCGCTCAAGACGCTGGGCATCATCATGGGCGTGTTCACGCTCTGCTGGCTGCCCTTCTTCCTGGCCAACGTGGTCAAGGCCTTCCACCGCGACCTGGTGCCCGACCGCCTCTTCGTCTTCTTCAACTGGCTGGGCTACGCCAACTCGGCCTTCAACCCCATCATCTACTGCCGCAGCCCCGACTTCCGCAAGGCCTTCCAGCGCCTGCTGTGCTGCGCGCGCCGCGCCGCCCGCGGGAGCCACGCGGCCGCCGGAGACCGGCCGCGCGCCTCGGGCTGCCTGCCGCGGGTCCGGCCGCCGCCGTCGCCCGGGGCCGCTTCGGACGACGACGACGACGACGACGTCGGGGCCGCGCCGCCCGCGCGCCTGCTGGAGCCCTGGGCCGGCTGCAACGGCGGGGCGGCGGCGGACAGCGACTCGAGCCTGGACGAGCCGGGCCGCCCCGCGGGCGCCTCAGAATCCAAGGTGTAGCGCCCGGCGCCCGCTGGCTGCACCCCGCGCGCCCCGGGAGCAAGAACGCCCAGGCGCCCCTGATGGCTTCCCGGGGGGGGGGGGGGGGGGGGTGGGAGGCGGGAAACGATCTGTGTTTACTCAAGACCCAGAGCAGGTGAACTCGAAGCCCGCAAACCTCGTCTGATTGATCCAAGCCAAACACAAAAGCCACGGACCGTTGCACAGAAAGGAAAGTTTGGGGAGGGCTGGGAGAGTGGCTTGTGGATTTGTCTTGGGTTCTTTTTTTCTGTGTGTGCTTCGGCCTTCTTTGGTGTGTGCGTGTGATGCATCTTCAGTTTTTTAGGGTGTCCTTTTTTTTTTTTTTTTTTCCCCTCCAGGTGGTTTTTGACACTTGCTTTGAGTACTGGGTAGTGGAAGGGAGAAGCATAAAAGGCTATCAACTTGGCCTCCATCCCGTTGCAGGGAACAGGAGCGGTCCACGGGAGAGAGAAGGGGGAATGACAGTTGTCAGGACATGTTCCCTTTGCTTTCCAGAGAAACTTCATTTGACTTCCTGAGTAATGATTTTTCCTGTCCTTAAAGCAAAGGGAAAGGCTGGATGCAAAAATCACGTTTCAAGAAATTTTAAGCTATTCTTGGAACAAGCCTCACCTTGCTTTCTTTTTGTAGGGCAAACCTGCTGTCCCCAACGCGCCTCGGTGGTCGGGCTGAGGGGTTTCTACCTCACACTGTGCACATTGCACAGCAAGATAGAAAGACTTGTTTATATTAAACAGCTTATTTATGTATCAATATTAGTTGAGAGGACCAGGCGCTGAGCCTCTGTGACATGTGACCCTGTCCATTGAAGACAGGACAGAAGAAGGAAAAAAAAAAACAAACCCAAGAGGAAACAGTTCAGATTACTGCACACATGGGTAAAAAAACAAAACACAAAACAAGGAGTGGTTCCAAATACCATTTTTGCACAGTGTTAGGAATTATAAAGTCCACACAAGATATTACTTGCACAAAAAGAAATTAAATATTTTTTAACTGGGGCAGGGGGCAGATCTTACAAAACAAAAATAAAATTCGAACTCGACTTCTGTTGTCCGGTATGTTATTGAGCTAATGATTTATTGGAAAAATACATTTTTATACTCTTATCATGGTACTGTAACTGTATCCATATTACAAATATAATTATCTTAAGGATTTCTATTATTTTTTTATGTCCAAGTGCCCACGTGAATCTGCTGGTAAAGTTTAGCACTCGTGTGTAAATGGTATTTTCTCTGTGTGTTTTACCAAGTATTTATACTTTGGTGCGACTAACTACTGTGTGAGGGATTGGTCCATGTGCAATAAATACCAATGAAGCACAAGGTTATGTACCGTGTGTCTGTGAGGGGTCAGTGATAATGGAAGAGACAGTTTGTTTTGTTCAAAATATAGGCTGGGTTTCCCATAGAGCTCTTTTAATAGCTTTTCATGACTCAGTAACATAGCAAAATGCCTCTAGACCAAATAAGGCATGCACCTACTGAGAGCTGCAGACTTGCCCTAAATTTTCACAGCCGGATTCAAGGTATTCTAGACTACTTATAGATGTTTTCAAGATCCCATCTGCTGCACTTGACTTAAGAAGTAATATGTGGGATTGTGTATCTTTAAAAAAAAAAAAAAAAGAAGAAGGCGATAGAGCCAGGTAAATCAATTGCAACTTTGCAAAGAAACGCAGGGGAAAAAACTAACTCCTTGAATAATGAGTTGCCCGCCTGGAAAAGAGGTAAGTGGCTTCCACAGCTTGTTTTTGTTTTCCAGTAGAAAATCACAGCCTACAGATGACGATCAGTGTGTGCAGATTGCTTCAGTGGCCGTTTAGAATGGAAAGTGCTTGTATGCTTACACAAAAAATGTATGAAAACAGCTTTTTAAGCCAACATTTGTTTTTCTCTTACATAATTATCTAGACCATTTTTCCAGAATCTGGGGGTGGGCAGGTCACAGGGAAAGGCAGATGTGAAAAAGTTTGACCCCCCTACCCCCCAGCAAAACTGTGACTCCAAATGGATGGGCTATTTTTCGTAAAAATGATTTCTAAAGAAAGGATAGTGAAATTCCATCCTGGGATTAATTCTGCATTCTCCAGTATAAGTTTAAGTCTTTATCTGTTTATTTTTAACCAAGCATTATATTTCATGATCGTACAGCAAAGAAACCAAAGTGAGGATTATAAAGTTTTGACTCCCTACTGAGCTTTAGCATGAAGAAACGAATCTCCGCTAAGGAAAGTGAAGACTGAATAGCCTCTTTTTTTTTTTTTTTTTCTTTTTGGCAATAGAATATTCTAAAGACCAGGAGACCGTATTTTGAGAAAGGTTAATGATATGTTTTAGAGACCAACAGAAGGTTGTATGAACAAAAGTGGCTATGAAGTTTAACCCCCTTCTCCAGAAAAAAGAAAGAGAGGGAGAGGAAGGGAAAGAGAAAAAGGGAAAAAGGGAGAGGAAAGGAAAGAAAGAAAGGAGGTGGGAGGGGGAAGATGGCAAAACTTACTTAAAAATACAAAGGAAAAAGAAACTTAGTTTGGAGAATATAAAATCTCAGGATGAAATCTCACTTGCTCCCCAAGAAATAAATAAAGCCCACGTCTATCCTCACTTACCCCATGAGTATATACGATGCATTTTGTTAGAGGTTTTGTTGTTCTTCATTTTAGTTTATACTAAAAAATTAACAGACAACACCTACAGTGTCATCTGAAGAACCCTCAAGTGCCAAGGTAATGCTTCCCTCTCCTGACTTCCTCGTTACTTTGTTTAAATAAGTCCTTGCGTCTAAATAAAAAGACATCTTCCCAGCCCCATCTCCCAGGCCCATCAAACCTCAGGTCTTAAAATCATGACACTCCTTTAAACTTTTAGTAAACAAACAAATATATATAATTTAACTACTTGGTCGAAACTCTTTAGTGAATTACAAGAACCAACTATAATCTTGGAACCAGTTGGTACGTATTTGTAGGAAATAGAAAAAGATTTTTCTAGAGTCCCTTGGTACTCTGAGCATTATAAGGATTCCGAAACAGACCAGTGGGTGACTTCTGACTCTCCGTGATAACTACTTTTTGTTATTTTTGAAGAAAACAGACATTGATTTATAACAGAAACGCGGGAAACTGGGCTGTCAATCCCAACCGCTGTGGCAATGGGAGGACTGTCAATCCTGTTTAATCTGGTGAAATGATACACTCCAGCAACGACAGAGGACAGCAAAGAATATGCAGAAAATCAACCTTACACCGTAGGTTTGTGTGCAACAAATTCCAAAGGCATAAACCTTAAAATTAACACAGTGACCTTCAATGTGATCAAGATTCATTGATTCGCTACAGTGGAAATTATGTTGAGATTGTGCAAAGTTCTCTAGTGCGTAACAAGATATCCCAGCATCTATAAATGCTCCCTCCAGCGCAGAAACCTGTAATTGGTATAGAATATAGCTGAATCCCTTGGTGAACTCGCCTAGATAAAACTTTGCAAATGGAGTTTATTTTTTCAGTCCATGCTTTCTTTGGAACTGGAATTATTAATAACTTCTTTTTTGGGAATTACTAATAACTTCTAAGTGGCTATTGTGAAGCCTTTCCTTGGGAAGCACATTTTCCTAGCTTCTCTTAATTTGCATTTTGAATATGCTAACTTCCTCTGGCAATGTGTAAAATTGCCAGACGGAAATTCTGCACCCACAGTATCAGGATGATATAACCATTTAAGTTTTTAGCAAGAGCTTCTAAGCAAGGGTCTAAAGGAAAATTATTAAGTTTTGCTGCCATATGTGAAAAGCTTTAAAAGAAGTTTTTTTTAAACAAAGTTGGACCCATTAGTTCTTTTGAAAGAAAAACATTAAAAAAAAAAAAAAAACCTTAGCAGTAATTCAAATTAAGCACATTGGCACAGATAATTTAGCTTTATTTTGTACGTTTCTGGCATATTGTGCTGAGAAATACTAATTCTTTTGAATCCCTGCCAACTTCCTACTAATCAAAATGGAGAAGATATGCACTGTTTGGATTATACCTAAAAATAGTTGTGCTACAGTCACATCAGCAAATGGAATTAAATTAATTTCTCTTTCTTCCCCTTCACACATACCCTCTATATTATTTAGATTTCCAACAAAATCTTGCTCCGGAATCTCAGAATTTGTAATTCAGTGTGTCCCAAACTTCACTGCTACATTGCAAGGATTTTAAGCAAACTCCACTAGACTTCTTTCTGAGAAATACACCTCTCCTGAAATTTCCACTTTCACCTTGCTTTCATTTAGAGAGTCTCTATTAAATAGCCCTTAGGATGTAAACAAAGAGGTGACAATACTATAAATAGATACTTTGTGGATTAATTTACCTTCAGCAGAGTCTTTTTACCCTTTTGTGGGAGGAGAAAGAGAAGAGTTTCTGAATCAAAAAAATTTGGTCATTTGATGGAGGAGCGAATAGGCTTCCAACTCCAATTGCTCTAAAGACAGACTGGAGAAGCAGCAGCCCCAAGGAAAAGTTTACCCAATCACGTCATAGTTAGAGCATGATCTTTACAGTAATGCCAGCGGAGCCCAAGACAGCATTGGAAATAACCGTCTACACCCTATACACCTTTGCCTTCACTTGCATGTCCCGCAAAGATCTCTCTGAACATCCATCGACCATCTGTACCTGAAGCCAGTTCTTATCTGGGACCCAGTACACTCACTAGTCCTTCTCTTGAGCAGTTCTTCAGTTCTTCCCGAATGAACCTGAAATATCTAGAACATCTAGTTCTAGATAAATTGTCTTCATGGAAGCATTCATTTCTCATGAACAGTTTCTTACAGCTCTGATTTTCAATATATTTCAATACATTGATTACAATTCTTCTCTCTCCACATTCCCTTGCTCATAGCTGTTAATTACTATTAGCAAAATCATGCTATAATTTTCTTCCAATTTATGCCACAAAACTTACCTATGATGCATTTTAAATGTCTTAAGTATGGATTTCTTCCTAAGAATTTCAGTATTGCTCATAATTACGAGTGGGGAAAAAAACATTTTAA